ACTTGTTTCATGACGCTTGTACACATACTAGTGCATGTTTCCAGGGCTCCATGTGATGCCATGGGCGCTTCAATCAGAAGTTGGCCAGTTCTCAAACACGTTCTTGTACCCCGAAAAAATCTCAACGGAGATCGCCCTGCTCCCTCTGTAATCCCGACACTTCGCTTAGAGTAGAGTTTAGGGTTAAGGGTTCTGAGACACTCAAGTACTTTTCTGACACCCGCGAGGTGGGCCAACTGCAGAAGCAGCTTGCAGATGCCGAAAACCAAGCCAAAGAGACCGCAGAGCAGTACCAGAAGTTGCAGATCCTTTCCAAAATCACTTGAGTAGTATTTTATTTGAGGAGATTATGGTACCCCATATAGAGTAAGTTTATATCCTCCTTTGGGGTGAAGGGTTTTTTTTTATCATAACTTCTACTGCCTATTGTGAACAGAGTGACTGTAAGCGGGTACGACCCAAGGTATTCATAGGCTGTGCTTTGGGTTTAGGGTTTAGGGGCGGGGCGGGGAATTCGCCACACGGGCTTTCCCCTGAAGGGCAGAGTTTCACCTTTCTCCCAGCCAGCTGGGTGGGCAAAGATGTCCTTTCTACGCAGACTGTCTTTGCGCCGTCTGCTCGTAGAAGCCTGTATGATGAGGTAGCATCATATTCCTTCATCATCCTCTTATAACGATTGTAAGACAGCAAAGTATCCCTTAGGCTCCTACATGATGTGGGATTCGATTCTTGCTTGGCAAGCTGGGCAAGTAAGGATGTCCTACCAGGAGGAGGGTCGCTTGAAGGAGGAGCAAAGGCAGCTCGCTGCCTCATACCAGGAGCCTTTCTCTGGAAGTACGAATTACGTAGCTATAAGGTATTGGCATGACTACTAGTATTGCCGGTAGTAACGTTGCCGTTATGTGTCGGAGTACTTCCGCTACGGGAACTTTTTGGTTTATTTTTTGAGGGCTTTGGGCATGTTTGTACGTGTTTGTTTGCTGCAGGGTGCGAGGGCGAATTGTTTTCGGGTTGGGATCCAAGGGTTTGGGTTGCCAGGAGCAGTGTGCATCCCTGACCAAGCAGATGGACGTTTTCCGGGAGGCATCTCAGGGTGCTGTGGATGCGCAGGCAGGAGCTTCAAAAAACACAGGGTTGGAGCGTAGAAGCGACTGCGTACAGAGTTGTACCTTCATCCCCTCGAGGTCAGTGAACTATTCAATGCGCCTGAAGTCCCTAAAGCAAAACGACTTCTGTAGAATGCGTGATGCCAGTAGGGAGGGGGGTGGGATCATAGTGAGCTCCGCCATTCTAACAGCAAACGCAAGATTAATCGGTAGCGGGTGATCTGAATCTTGGCATTGATATCATCATTGGTGGTAGGTTTGTATCACCGCTCCTCATGCATACTCCTCCTGCAACAGCTTCAAGCAGTGTGCCGTTTTTGGTTGGGTTCCCAGCAGGAGCATGCCATTTTGGAGAGGCTCATGGGAGGATGTTACTTTCTGGGTCAAAGTTGCAAAGCCAAGAAGAAATAGAAATGACAAATTTCAATATTTCCCAGCTATGAGAAGCCAGAATGCGGCATCAGAGGGAGGAGGTGGATTCGCCTTTTCCCAGTTGGAAGGTCAGGGGGCCTAGTAAGTAAGTTATACTGTAACGCTTAGGGCTTAGAAGCCATATTGTAATACCTCCAGTCCCCCAAACCCAAAGTCTTTTTCATTATGAACCTACTTCTTCCGCGAGAAGCCTATATGAGCTATAGTCTAAGCCACTAGCATCCCCTTAGCAACCGTCATAATACTCCCCTACAGAATCCTCCATATAACCCCCTTTGCGGAGTTTAGGCCTTAAACCCTAAATCCCAAAGCAATAAAACCCTATATAATCCCCTATATAACCCACCTGTAAGGAGTTTAGACTATAGCTCATATGTCCGAGCACAGGAAGCCGCCCGGCTTTCCGCAGATCGTGACCTGCTGGCACAGCAGGTTCAGCAGCTGGAGAAGCAACTGGCGGACGCAACTGGCCCTTTTTAAGGGAGGTACATAAGGGTTATGTGGGGGCTCTATAGGGATTTGGGATTAATAGGATTTAGGGGAACGCCACTGAATTAGTTGTCACTGGGAATGTTTGCCCGCGCTGCTTGCAACGACAAAAAAAGGCTGGTTTGGTGGCTTTAGATTGTGATGGTACTGCTGCTGCTCCAGTATGGTCGCTGCTACTGGGTCACTAATTCCAGCTTCTACTACTGCTCGTCACGCTCCCTGCAACTGCTCATGTTGACCACTGATACACCCTGCTCCTGCCATGGCTTTTTGTTCTTGTCTATCATGGTCCCCAGGCAACCACTGCGGTCAGCCAGAATGTTGCGGACCAGCAGCAGCTCCAGGCGTCCCTGCAAGAGGAGGCGCGACAAAAGGAAGAGCAACGGCAACTTGCAGCGACGCTGCAAGAGCAGTGCCTTACCTTGCAAGTGAGACCTCAGAAGCTTTTGTTATCTGGTCGTTTCCAACAATGAGGGGCACCCAATCATGATTCAAATTTACTATAGGGCCGCCCCCAAAAGGGATGGTTTGATGTTGAGCTGTGCAATGCTTTCTGTAGCCTGGCCGAAAGCGTGGAGATGGGTGTTTGCTCGGCCCTGGGCTATTGCAATGGGGAGCCTGAAGCGAGCCACAACCTTGCCAGAGCGTGCTTAGGGTCTAGGGGACACATAGGGGTTCTATTGGGCTTTGTGGGATATTCGAGAAGTGCTATAGATTGGGAGCGTCTCTTAGGGTGGTATTCCTTCGTAGTCTAAAATTATCCAAAAGTCCACACCATCCCCCATGAGTTTCTTGACAGAATCCTGCAACCCCACACCCTGTACCAGCAGGAGCAGCTCGGAAAATTCAGGTTGTACTGAGGTCCAGGCATATAGCGTGACCACCCCCCCCCCAAGAAAGGTGCTCCAGCTTGGCGAAGGAGGTCGAGAACCTGAAGGAATCTGACGCATGAACTAGTCTGTATATAACCCTGATAATCCCTATAGTTTCCATTTTCTTTTCTATTATCCCAATATAACCCCGATATAACCCAATATTGTCCCAATGGGTACAAATTATTTTCACGTGAAGTTTTCGAAGCTGGGGGTGTATGGGTATGTCTTGCTCTCAAGCCATAATTGTGTCCCCGGAAAAGCGATGCGTGTGGGGAGGCAAATAAATTCTGTATGATTGAGCTTGGGGTTTCGCATTCCTTCATACCATGGGTAATTCTCCCTTACAGTATCTCTCCTCAAAGAGGTCCGATTACCTACTGTGATAACAGTTGCTCCAAGGGGGAGCCACCTAAAACCTAGCTTACAGCTTCGAGCCGTTTTGTCTTGCAAGCAATCCTCTTTCCCAAGGGTGTTCCCATACAGTCTATACTTTATAGCTAAACCCTAAACCCCTAAACCCTATACTTTATAGCTACATGGATCCTTGGGTTTGCAAGGCTGTGCAAGATGCTGTGCCCAACGGAGATGGCGGAATTTGGGGCATGTTTGGCAGAGTTTTCTGATCTGCTGTGTTACGGTTTAGGGTTTAGGGTTTAGGAGCTGTTGTCCATATTAGGGATGCCACGGGACCAGTAAGGGTGGAAAGAGGGTGCTTCTTATAGTCTGATATATTCCTTAGTAAGGAACCCATGTCCGTGAACTAGCTGGGAAATATTGTGACGTGGAGTTTCCATGAATAGGTACCTACAGTTTATGGCTCGGAATTGAGGGCATGACGCCGATAATGGAGAATCAAATGAAAATCAACAAGAAAGCTTCTATATACCTTGTTGCCTCAACCTTTCATCAGGCCTAAGTACCACAAACTCGCAATCCCAAGTCCAGAAGTCTTTGAAGCAAGGATACCAGGATCATATGAGCTATAGTCTAAACTCCTAGTACCCCCTTAAACACCCCTACCATAGTCTCTTATATAACCCCCTACATAAAACCCCCTTGAATTAAGGAGTTAGAACTACAGCTCATATTTAGGATGAGTACTTCCATGCAGTCTCTGTCACTTTGCATCCCCGGGAGTTTTAATCCAAGATGAACCCTAAAGCCTATCCCGAGCAAGTCAACGCCCTAAACCCCTCCACAGAAAGACCCTGAAGCCTAAACCCTCTTCAACCAGAAGTCCCCCAGACCCTACACCCTTGTAGCCTCCTTGAGACCTCCCGCAGCAAGGACATGGAGCTGGCGTAGCTCAGGAAGAATTGACAGCGGAGCGCGAGGCGCACGCACGGCAGGTTCAACAGCTTGAACCTCTTCAAGCATCTAGGGAAGGGCATTGGGAGTGCACCTTCTTAAAGGGTGACCAGAACCAAAATGCGATCCTGCTGCCATTTTGGGGGCAGGTATTTTGAACAATTACCATTTGAGTAGCATGTTTTTTTGAGGTGTTTAGGATTTCAATTTTTGTCGTGGGGGTTACTAGGGGTCTACACCCCTAAAACAACCAACAGAGTAACATTTTAGTGGAAGGTTAGGGTTTAGTGATGAAAGGGTTAGAAGAAGCACGCGATTAGGGGCTATTCAGGGTTTCAGGGCGAGGTTTTGCTTTGCATGTTTAGGTTAGGGTCTTCGGCGTGGGGTTAAGCATGCCATAGTGAGAGTGACGTGGAACACAAAAAGGACATGGAATGGAAACTTGGATTGTTTAGGGGTTAGGCAGCCTAAAAGGACCGTGTCTGGTCGTTACAGGGGGTCCGTGTAAGTCTGGGGGAGGGTAAGTAGCTTGCGAAATTGGGCCACCACGTCTCAACAAAGAGTCAGGTTCAATTGGGTCTTCGGTATCGTCTGAGCCAAAGAGCCTGATTGGCCCCGCCACAGCCCCAAAATTTCACTCCAAAATTGCAACCCCAAACCTGTAACCCTGGCTTGCCACATGATATCTAAACCCTAAAACCTAAACCCGAAACCCTAAGCCCTAAACCCTATAGGGATCCCTGTGTACTCAACCCCCTGTTTGGAGGAAGGGAGACAGCTCAGAGCCCAGGAGATGCAGCTTGCCGATGCAGCCAGCGCTGCCAACCAGACGGCAGAGCAGCAACAGAAGCTTCAGGCGCCGTTTAGGGTTAAAAGGGTTTAGGGCTTAGGGTTTAGGGCTTAGGGCTTGGGGTTTAGGGTTTAATGAGGGTTTAGGGCTTGGGGTTTAGGGCTTAGGGCAGGGGTTCGGAATGAAGATTTTCAACGAAAGGATTGGGGTTTGCGCCGTAGGTTCTTCCCCTAAGGCTTGGCAACCCCTAAGCCCCCAAACTGCCGCCTGCCCCAACCCAAGCCCGCAAGCCTTCCGAAGCTCCCATTGCCCAGCTGAGCTATAGTCCAAACTCCTTGTATCCCCCTTAATAACCCCGATAATACTCCCCTATAGAATCCCCTATATGACCCCCCCTTTAAGGAGTTTAGACTATAGCTCATTTGTAATCCCCTACATAGCCACCTTTAAGGAGGTTCAGACTATGGCCCAGGTGTCTCTGGAGGAGGAAAGCCGGCAGAAGGAGGAGCAAAGGCAGCTGGCGGCCTCCTATCAGGTGGGAGTGCTGTCATGAAGTAGGAACAGTCATATGAGACATAATCTAAACTCCTTAATGGGGGTATATATGGGATTATATAAGGGACTAGTATAGGGGGATACTAGGAGTTTAGACTATAGCTCACACAAGGGTGATATAGGGACAAATAGGGGTCATATACCTTACATGGTATCTAGGGGCAGTTTAGTATGGGCACGTAAGGTAGCGAAGCATATGCAAATAGTTTCCTGTGTCCCTGCATGTGGTATAGTCTAAACTCCTAGTATCCCCCTTAATAACCCTTAAAGTAGTCCCCTAAAACAAACCTTATATAGCCCCCCTTAAAGGAGTTTAGACTATAGCTCACATGCTCTACCTGCTTGAACATATTCGGAAGGGCTCCTCGTAATTAGGCGATGTAGGTGGGGACGTTAAGAGGATTGCCTACATGAGCGACTGTCAAAGTTTGCCTTGCCAACGACCCCTCAACAGTGGACACAGGGGTCCCTCTTGTAGTATAGTCCTTGATATTGTACCTCAGAAGAAAGCCATGTCCATTAAATCACGTAGGAAATGGAAATGTTCTCTGTAGCTCGCATGGCGTAGATGTACAAACGAAGCTCATCTGGGAAGCCGTTGGCAACCATGAGAAACCCCTGACAGCCTCTGGGCATGATTGGAGCTGCTTTTAACCATTGGCAAGGGCGGTTATATCCGCCCCTGACAGAGCTAGCTCTTCGCAGAGTTTTACCGTAAACATGGAGTGCACTTTCAGTGTGGTAGAAGAACTTCAGTTAAGTTCCTAGGCCGAAGCGCTTCATGCTGCTCGCAACTTTCTAACCTAGCAGCATGACGACTTTGATGATTCAATGTTGAGCTTCTGTTGTTCAAGTGCGGCCCAATGCAGGCTACCGCCCTTTTCTGGGTAAAAAAGTTCCAAATCTGTTGTACTGTGTTTGTATTCAGACCAATAAGGAACATCAAAGGCCATCACTTTACAAGTCTCCCAATGTAGAATTAACTCGTGCCTGCAGCATCTCTCTGAAGAATACATAAGCAGCCTAGAAATGGTCTAAATCCTAGTCGCATCCTCATGCGATCCCTGTCATCTCCATGAAAGTCTGGCAGTTTTATAGAGCCACACCTACCCTCAGTCCAGGGTACCTAAACCCAAAACAACCCAAGAACTAAACAATTGATCTGCAAACGCTCGCCGTCCTCAGGCCATGCAGCTTGCACAAACCTTCCAAGAGAAAGCCCGAAGGCAGAAACCCCCAACCCTAAGCCCCCTAAATCCCTAAACCCCAGAACCTAAATCCCTAAACCCCCAACCCAAAGCCCCCTAACCCCCAAAATCCCTAAACCCCAAAACCTAAACCCTTAAACCCTAAACCTCAACCTCTCCGCAGGAGCAGTGTGCCTCCCTGGTACAGCAGCTCCAGGCTCTTAAGGAAGCCGGGGACTCCGCAGCCCAAATCCAAGAGGAGGGCTACAGGGTTAAGGGTTTAGGGTTGAGGGTTCAGGGTTTAGGGTTAAGGGTTTCGGGTGTAGGGTTTAGGGTTTAGGGCTTACACACTTTCAGGGAGAATGAAGTGGAAAAGAAAATGGGACATGAAACAGAATTAAATCAGGGTAAATCACAGGGATATTTCTGGGAATAATTTTCAGGGCTTAGGGCTTGTGACGGGTAACCTCCCCCAAAACTATCAAGGAACCACATCCAGTGGCCTTGATAGGGCCCTTTTGAGGGCATTATCCCAATATTACCCCAATATATACCCTATAATCCCTATATAACCCCTATAATCCCTGTAGTTTCCATTTTCTTTTCCATTATCCCAATATAGCCCCTATATGACCTCCAATATGACTACTAGTTTGCGATAGGGTAAGGTTTGCAGTTCAGGGTCCAGACCACGAGGCTCAAGGTTTCTGGGTGTGGGGTACGATTTCGGGCTGAAGGGCCTTGGAGGTTTGAAATCAAAAGTTCAGGGTGTATGGTTTAGGATTTAGGGTTTATGTACTGTAGGGCTTAAAGTCTGGGTTGTTAGGGTTGGGGTTCACAGGTTTGGTTCATTTGAGACTGGGACGGCAGCTTCAGGTGCTATAAGATTTAAGCGGTAGGTTTGAACATGCTGTTTCAATTTTTACGATTCTGAGTCCCTATATAACCTTTATAAAGCCATAGAAATTCGATTTTTACAGGGCCCCCAAACCTACCCTAGTTGTTCCTCAGATGTGAGCATGCCAATTGAGAATCCATACCGCATCGCTTTGGTTTCATTCCCTTACTGACTTGTGCTGGTGAAGTAGCAATAGAATGACCCCATCCGACCTCCCCCCAGGTTGCAGTTTATGAAAATAGCACCAAATTCGCTGAGTCGGATTTTTCGATAGCATCTCCAAACTGAGCAGCTTGCCAGGAATAGAGGCGGGGGCTTCGGGTGCGGGGGCTTCGGTTTAGTGCTTTGGGAGTCTAGGCCTGTTTCGAAGATATCGAACCCACAGGTTTCCCACACACGCCGGACAAGGTAAGTGTCACCGTATCACTTCAGGTAACCATATGATTAACAAGCTTTGTAAGAATCCTAGCTCCAGCTTGCATGAAGACATTTGTTCAAACCCTGCCCATGACCAGCATTTCAGAGCGGACACCGCGCCAGGAGGCTACACGCGTGTCCGCAGAGAAGGACATGCTGACGCAACTTTGGAATACATTCATTAAAATCCTAACTTGCTTTGAGACGCTCTTGATGCAGCGGCAGGCACAGATGCAAGCTGGAGGCTCAACCTCTTTGGGGTCCTTGGTTAGGGTCTTCGACCAGCACCAAATGAAACCAAAAACCAATGCACAAGAAAAGTGCTTACTTTGCAAAAACAAGTAAGGATATCACCATGGAAGCAGGATTTTCTGCAATACAGCGTGGGCATTTGAATGGCTTAGGCAACAAGTTCAGCAGCTCGAGAAGCAGCTGGCGGATGCATTCAATGCAGCTGGGTCTTCCTGGCATCCCTGAACCCTCAAGATTCAACAGTAAACCCTACACCGTAAATAGTAGTTTCCATTTTCTTTTCCATTATCCCAATATAGCCCCAATATTTACCCTATAAGCCCCATATAACCCCTATAATCCCTGTAGTTTCCATTTTCTTTTGAATTATCCCAATATAGCCCCTATATCATCCCTATAATAACCAGCCCGGAACCCCAATCCCTCAGCAGAAGCTCCCTGTCCTTGCCGAACGCCTTAAGAATAAGCTTTGCAGCTTAGTGTTTAGGGTTTAGGGGCTGATGATATTGGGGTTATATTGGGGTTATATGGGGGCTATGTAGGGATAATGGAAAAGAAAATGGAAACGATTATATAGTATATTGGGGTAATGGAAATAGAAAATGGAAACTACTATAATATATAAGGTTTGAAGAACCGAAGCCCAAACACGTTGCATTGAACTGATGGCCCCCCCCCCCTACGCTGAAGCATTCTAGAGCGCGCTCAATGTCTGAGTCCAATTTCTCTACATGCAGTCGGAGACACAGAGGAGACATGGCTTCTTTATCGCGAATAATGCAGACCACCGAGTAGCAAGGCCCTGTCCCTTCTCCTCCCAAACAGCTGGATCCCTCATCATCAGATTGTTTTGACATTAGTAATGATACTACAGCTGTCACTGCCACGGCAGAATTCAGCTCTTGTTATTACTAGTGTTTTCGTGTTATGGTTCTTGTTCAAGCCAACTTCTCATGCTCTCGCCATGGCAAAGGCAGGCAGCCAAAACACAGAAGATCAACAGCGCCTTCAACTGCCACTGGGTTGCTGTTAAGGGGCGTACATTAAGTTACTATATTAAACTTTAGTTACTATAGCACACCATAATTTGGATGCATAGTTACAAGCATGGCTTCCTTGTTATGGCGTTTTCGGAACTCAGACAGCAGCTCAGGTCATTGCAAGAGGAGATCCAGAAGAAGGAAGAACTGAAGCAACTTGTTGCCACGATGCAAGAACAGACCCTCGTCAGGACTTGTGATGAGAGAGTGCTACCAGCAGCATCTAGGCTAGGCCCTTCAAGGCACAAACTGCGAGCTCAATGGATCATGATAATTAAGTTCGGGTCCTCATTCATTCCTAGTCTCCCAATATATCCCTATATATCCCCTTCAAAGGGACCCAAATATACTATAGTTACTACAGCAGCTTCCATTTCCTTTTCCATTATCCCAACATAGCCCCTGTATAACCCCCAATTATTACTACTGTGTGGGGACCCCGCCCAGGGCATCATGGCATGAGGTAGAAGACAGAGTTTTTCTAGCGATGTTGGCAGGGCTGAGGGCGTAGCGCTCAGGGTTAGGGTTTAGGTCTACATGCTCAAGTCTGGGTTGAAAGGCATGCGAAGATATTTGCTCTCGCCTTGGAAGGGGTATGCTAGTTTGACCTATCTGCGCTGAGAGTCCTTGCAGCTCTGGATCTATCAAACATCAATGGCAGGCTCTTGGGGGATGTCTATCGTGTGGAGGCTGATCCGAAAATGTAACTTCCTCCCAAGATGAACCGATAGATCATCCGTGCCATGCTCTGTCACCAGCTCTTTCCTCAGATTCCTTCATGCAGTCCTCTCCCGATCCCGTGCAAGGTGTTCCTCCTTGGCGAAAGAGGTGGAATCCTTGCAAGCTGCACGCCAGACGGCAGAGGATTCGCAGCAAGGGGCCGTGACCTCAGGCTTTCCGTTCCAGTGCTCTAGCATCCTTACCTTTGGGCTATAGTCCCCTTTCAAGTAGATAGAATATGGTTTTGGATTTGTTATACTAAGATCCCTATATACCCCATACTCTATCNNNATCTACTTAAGGGGGGCTATATGGTGGTGGCAGTAGAATGATCAGGAGGAGGAGAGCCATGTTGTGTCGCAGTATCGGGTGCAGGCTTTGACAATTTTCCCCTTGATGTATAGGGTCTAAGGAAATATGGGTGGTTGTCAAAAT